GGGCGGGAGGCCGACCGAGCGGGGGCGCGCTGGCGCCGCGAGCCGAGCTACCAGCCCTCCGCGCCTGCCTTTTCAGGTTAGAAAAGCAGCGAGGGGGGAAAGACCGCGGATGGTCCAGAAAAGTGACGTTTTTCGAGCCCCGAGAAGGGGAGAGGCGAAGAGGGCCGAGTGGAAGGAGCTGGGTCCGGGCGTGGGCGGGACAGCCCCCCCTAACTGCGCGGGGCAGGCGGGGCCTGGGACTCCTGGGCCGAGAGCCGGCGGAGAGGAGAGAGAGAGCCCAGTTAAATTCGAGAAACGTGAGCTTTAGCAAAGACTTAGTATTTTCCCTCATTATAAACACTGTATCTGTTCTTTACGCAGTGTTTGAGGGCTACAAGACCAAATCGGGGGCATTTAAATCACCAGTCATCGCACCGCTACCCATTAACTCTCCCTTACAGATTAAAAAATAAACTAAGTGCAGGTTTTTTTCTTATAGACTTCTGATCATACTGTACATACAGTTTTATGGTCTGCTTTTTAATTTAATATGATTTTGTGAGCATTTCCCCGTGTTCTTCAATATCCTTAAAAGTCCTTGCATTTGCTGCTCGTTGTCGCATACCCAGGCAGCCCAGAATTTATCCTTTATTGATGGTCATTAGGGCTTTTCAATATTTGTGTGTGCGTATGCTGTAAAAGTACTTTAAAGCACCTCTTGGTTCCATCTCTGAATCTTTTTCTTAGATTCCTTTGAAATGTCCATTACAGTATTTGCCGGCCCAAAGTCCTATAGGAAAACTGGCCCCACCAGTGGTCTCTGCACTGAGGGGCTATGGACGGGCAGTTCCCCCTTATCCCTAGCTGATTGGGCCACAGGAGGACATCTGATCCAAGTGCAGCCAAGGCTTCCGCTGGTCTAAGACCCCTTACTTGCCTGGTTTGGGAAGATGATCTGGCCAATCAGATTCTCTTCTTCAAGGTTCATAGGAGAAAGTCAACTAAGAGGTGGTCTTGCCGGAAGATGATTGTGGCTGTAGAAACAAAATAAGCAGGAGTCAGGTGGAAAGCTAGCTCAGAGATGGGGGTAAGCAAGCACTAGAGCACTATGAGTAGAGGTAGCAACTTGAGAACCTCTGTGTAGAGTTCCCCAGGCTAGCCAACCCCACAGCTGCGGGGGGACTGTGCACTTCCCAAGCTGGGATGTTGACTCTTAGCTGAGCTCTTGTATTTGTAGCCTCTTCATGTTTCTTGAGACAATTCGAATGTGTTTATTTCATCCACAGTAACCCAAATGATTGGGCAGGTTCACATGGTCAGCAAATAGGTGATTAAGGTCTCAATACTCTGCTAAAGTGCTTTTAAAAACTGTAAGTTTAGGGGCTCCTGGATGGCTCAGTCGGTTAAGCGCCCGACTGGATTTCTGCTCAGGTCCTGATCTCACGGTTCATGGGTTCAA